CTTATAGCTGCAGCAGACTAAATAAGGCTAGGTTTGCGTGGGCTTCCCAGAATCTTTACACAAAGAAGTCAATGTAAAGTATAACAGCCCGACCTCAGCTGACGGAGAACCTGACGGAGAACCTGACAGAGACAGCTTTACAGCCTACAGAACCAGTGGGAAGAGGCTGTAGACCCAGGACTGAGACTGTAGATCCAGGACTGAGGTTGTAGATCCAGGACTGAGGCTGTAGACCCAGGACTGACTCTGTAGACCCAGGACTGAGGCTATAGACCCAGGACTGAGGCTGTAGACCCAGGACTGACTCTGTAGACCCAGGACTGAGGCTGTAGATCCAGGACTGTCTCTCCAAAAACCAGACAAAGTAATAACCGTGTAATTTCACCATTAGACTGTTTATAACATTCAAACACGGCTTTAATCGGTCTCACTCTGAAGACAAAGACTTCTCAGATCCGTGGGTTCGTCCCAAACCGTCGGTGACATCACAGAGCAGTGACGTCCGTCTGACAGAACTCTGAGTCAACACTTTTACAGCCTTCAGCAAATACCACAGACACCAGAACATTCTCAGGAGCAGTGCACTTTTCCTAACTTCTTTCACACTAGATTTTCCTTTTTAGACGTTTTTGAGGTGTGATTTGCGCGTTCAGAAGTGTACGTGTGTTTATGGAATCAATTGATCAAGTTTAAGGCCTTAGTACAAATGAAAAAGACGGTGGCTAGAAGCTTTTGTATGAGTCCCCAGCATAGATCAGAAAAAGTGGTTGGAGACCATCTCAAAAAGACTGAAATCTAAGCAGACACAGGGAGAACATGCAAACTCAACACTGTAGATTGCATTTTTGGAGTGTACTGACGCAGTGTGACATCACTACGTCCATGAGCACTTCCCTATTGGGTTTCTGTGAGCTAGTGTGTTAGCAATGTCCATCTGTATACAGTCTCACTCTGGTCTCTCTCTTTTCTCTCTCTGGTCTCTCTCTGGTCTCTCTCTGGTCCCTCTCTGGTCTCTCTCTGGTCTCTCTCTGGTCTTTCTCTGGTCTCTCTCTGGTCCCTCTCTGGTCTCTCTCTGGTCCCTCTCTGGTCTTTTTCTGGTCTCTCTCTGGTCTCTCTCTGGTCCCTCTCTGGTCCCTCTCTGGTCTCTCTCTGGTCTCTCTCTGGTCTCTCTCTGGTCTCTCTCTGGTCTCTTTCTGGTGTCTCTCTGGTCTCTCTCTGGTCTCTTTCCTCTCTCTGGTCTCTCTCTGGTCTCTTTCTGGCCTCTCTCTGGTCTCTTGCTGGTCTCTCTCTGGTCTCTCTGGTCTCTCTCTGGTCCCTCTCTGGTCTCTCTCTGGCCTCTCTCTGGTCTCTTGCTGGTCTCTCTCTGGTCTCTCTGGTCTCTCTCTGGTCTCTCTCTGGTCCCTCTCTGGTCTCTCTCTGACCTCTCTCTGGTCTCTTGCTGGTCTCTCTCTGGTCTCTCTGGTCTCTCTCTGGTCTCTCTCTGGTCTCTCTCTGGTCCCTCTCTGGTCTCTCTCTGACCTTTCTCTGGTCTCTTGCTGGTCTCTCTCTGGTCTCTCTGGTCTCTCTCTGGTCTCTTGCTGGTCTCTCTCTGGTCTCTTGCTGGTCTCTCTCTGGTCTCTCTGGTCTCTCTCTGGTCTCTCTCTGGTCTCTCTCTGGTCTCTCTCTAGTCTCTCCCTGGTCTCGCCCTGGTCTCTCCCTGGTCTCTCTCTGGTCTCTCTCTGGTCTCTCTCTGGTCTCTCTCTGGTCTCTCTCTGGTCTCTCTGCTCCTTGAAGAAAGGCCTGGAGGTGGATTCGAACCCAGGACCCTCTCGCTGTGAAGCAAAAGCACTAACTTCTGTCGCCTCAGTTTTGCTGTCGTCATTCTCAGAGGACAGAATGTAAAAATAGCTTGCTTCTTGAGCCTTAAACCCCGGAATAACCCCGTTCTCATAACTTACAGAAGCAGCCACTGGTTTTACATCAGTCAGAGCGATAACAGGAGACAGGAAATCAAACGTCTGAACACAAGTTACACAAACACTTCTCTCTCTGGTCTGACTCTGGTCTGACTCCGGTCTCTCTCTGGTCTCTCTCTGGTCTTTCTCTGGTCTCTCTCCGGTCTCACTCTGGTTTCTCTTTGGCCTCTCTCTGGTCTCACTCTGGTCTCTCACTCTGGTCTCTCACTCTGGTCTCACTTTGGTCTCACCCTGGTCTCTCTCTTTTCTCTCTCTGATCTCTCTCTG